ACACAGGCACCATTGTTCGTACAGTTCACACTCAACATGTCTTCATGCACTCAGAGTTACAGTCAGTCCAACAACAAGTGAACCTCCCTCAGGCATGAACAGAAAGACGCCAGGAGAGAAAAGTCAACGCAGGAACATCATTTTTTTTAAAGAAAGCTTCTGTTCTCTTTTGTTTTTTTGCTCAAATATCAGACATATAACAAAACCCCACTTCTCCTCTGATAGCATTTGATTTGCTGCGTCACGCTCAGCACAACCCTCAGCTGTTTTTTCTCTCGCCATCGTTTCGTCATCATCGTCGCCACCCAGCCAGGGAGGACACAGCACGCCATTGTCCTCGCCTTCTGTTGTCATGACGACCAAGGGAGTCTGACTCTCAGCTGGCTGCCACAGTGAACAGTGTTACAGTGCCACAAACAGCACATCAAGCCTCATTTATTCTGAGACAAGTTGTCACTGATGGTTTCTGGTCTGAACCAGTGCAGTCTGGTCTGTCAACAAGACACTGTGATTGCTGCAGTCACGCTGTGTCAATGTCCACAGGTAGATGAGTGCACTGCTCACTGACACCTGAGCTGCTTGTTCTTCTGTTGAAAGTATTACTGTTCAAGTAAATACATGTTTGTGGTGGATCTATCCTCAGCTCTACACATTCTGAGTATGAATGGTATGAGCTACTAGTGTGGGCTTGTGAAGCCAACCTGTTTGACAGACGGAGTAAACCTGAAGAAGTGGCGGCTCACTGGTGTTAACATGGTGGGATCACGCCTGAGGTTATGTGATGTATACCCACACCTATGGAGACACCATATACTTACCTAAAAACAGCCACTGATCCTTCGCAGTGTAAAAGAAGGCTGCAGTCAGCCATGTAACCAGCAGTGCTTAATGTGAATTTTATTTCCTGACTTCAAGCCAGTGCCTCCTCCCAGGCAACTAATTAGCGCCGTAAAACTTCAGAAAGTCTCTGGTAAAGTGTGTCACTCTGCTTGTCCTTAGCTCACACAGATAGAGAATGTAATACATACATTAGAGAAACCTGAAAAAGGCATCAAAGAAAACAACATCTGGCCACAGTGTGAACTGAAGTCAGACGATGACATTACACTGACAGACACAAGGGTGTGTGTTGATGAGGGGTGGAAGTATTCCAGTTCAGAAACAATCAGCTCTGCAATGTAACGAAACTCAACTACAAACATGCTCTGAAAATATCAGTAAACTTAACTTTATTTCAGAACAATTCTTCTGTGAATTCTGCACTATGGTACTGGGTTAATAATCATGAATTATCATTGAGTTTTACTGTTGATGGAGGTGGAGCTACTATCTTGTCTATTCTTGGGCTATGCAGTCAAGAATGCATCATGTTTTATCCTCTCACCATATTTTTATACGTAAAATCTAAATACATTGTTGAGGTGAGGTGGCTCGGGCATCTTTTCCGGATGCCTCCTGGACGCCTCCCTGGGGAGGTGTTCCGGGCGCGTCCCACCAGGAGGACACCTCGGGGAAGACCCAGGACACGCTGGAGGGACTATGTCTCCTAGTTGGCCTGGGAACGCCTAGGGGTCCCCCCGGAAGAGCTGGGGGAGGTGTGTGCGGATCGGGAAGTCTGGGCGGCTTTGCTAAGGCTGCTGCCTCCGCAACCCGACTCCGGATAAGCGGGAGAAGATGGATGGATGGATGGATGCATTGTTGCCCATAAAGTTGGAATAATTTTTATGTTCAGACACATTCCTCTTTTTATTTCTGTTTACAGTATGTCATAAAGTGTCACTTTTCTGCAAATATGTTATTATATCGTTTCATCTGATGAAATGATACTTTGCTACGATGTAAACTAGTCAGTGTACAGCTTATGTAACAGTGTAAATTTACTGTCCCCTCAAAATAACTCAATACACAGCCATTAATGTCTAAACCGCTGGCAACAAAATTTCCCCGAAGTGAAAATGTTCAAATTGGGCCCAAATTGTCAATATTTTGTGGTGCCACCATTATTTTCCAGCACTGCCTTAACCCTCTTGGGCAGAGAATGCACCAGAGCTTCACAGGTTGCCACTGAAATCCTCTTGCACTCCTCCATGATAACATCTTCTGTTTGAGGATGCCCCACAGATGCTCAATAGGGTTTAGGTCTGGAGGCATGCTTGGCCAGTCCATCACGTTCACCCTCAACTTCTTTAGCAAGGCAGCGGTTGTCTTGGAGGTGTGTTTGGGGTCGTTATCATGTTGGAACACTGCCCTGCGGCCCAGTTTCCGAAAGGAGGGGATCATGCTCTGCTTCAGGATGTCACAGTACATGTTGGCATTCATGGTTCCCTCAGTGAACTGTAGCTCCCCAGTGCCGGCAGCATTCCTACAGCCCCAGACCACCACCATGTTTGACTGTAGGCGAGACACACTTGTCTTTGTACTCCTCACCTGGTTTCTGTCACACACGCTTGACACCATCTGAACCAAATAAGTTTATCTTGGTTTTATCAGACCACAAGACATGGTTCCAGTAATCCATGTCCTTAGTCTGCTTGTCTCCAGCAAACTGTTTGCGGGCTTTCTTGTGCGTCATCTTTAGAAGGGGCTTCCTACTGGGATGACAGCCATGCAAACCAATTTGATGCAGTGTGCAGCGTATGGTCTGAGCACTCTATGGTCTTGGCCACCGTGCTGCTGCTCTGTTTCAGGGTGTTGGCAATCTCCTTACAGCCTAGGCCATCTTTATGTAGAGCAACAATTCTGTTTCTCAGATGCTCAGAGAGTTCTATGCTATGAGGTGCCATGTTAAACTTCCAGTGACCAGTATGAGAGAGTGTGAGAGCGATAACACCAAATTTAACTCCCCTGCTCCCCACTCACACCTGAGACCTTGTAACACTAATGAGTCACATGACACCGGGGAGGGAAAATGGCTAATTGGGCCCAATTTGGACATTTTCACTTAGGGGTGTCTTCACTTTTGTTGCCAGCGGTTTAGACATTAATGGCTGTGTACTGAGTTATGTTGAGGGGACAGTAAATCCACACTGTTATACAAGCTGCACACTGACTGCTTCACATCGTAGCAAAGTGTCATTTCTTCAGTGTTGTCCCATGAAAAAATACAATAAAATATTTGCAGAAATGCACTCACTTTTGTGACATACTGTACAGCAGTAATCACTTTTGACCCGATGCAATGATTACATACTGAGTCCCAGTTACCAGGATCAAACTAATTATGACTTTGGGATCTGACTGAAGAGTTGGACGTCCTCCCCACTGACACAATCAACAAGCTTATGTCTTAACGCATTGATCTGTGTCAGGGGTGGCCAGACTCAACATCAGTGAGTGACATTTGAAAGAGTGATATTGGACATTCTAATGCATGAAACCCCCTTGAATATGTGCTTCCTGTTAAGTTGACCAAGGTTGGAAAATTAAAACAAAACCTCTAATCCTATTGTTCAATGCAGCAATTTTGTTTAAGCCTGAATACACAGTTTGCAAAAGTTAACTGTGGTTTAATTTTTACTGTGATATGTATTATATGTATATTGTGAAATCTGTAAAGTTTTGAGAAGATAAACACTTTATCTATCAAGAGTTAATCACAATGTCACAATCATTCCATGCAAAGGGATTTAAAAGAAAATACTGTATTCCAACTTAATGGGCAACAGTGTATATAAAGACCAAAGCCACTAAAGCTGTCAAATAAATGCAGTAAAAATGGAAATTTAGATTCTGAATTGTTGTGCAGCACAAGTCAGATTGGAAACACTCTAATAAAACACTACAGCTTTAACCCTCATGTGACCTTAGATACATTTTTGTCCTTTTTATGTTTGGTTACTTGAACATTTTGGCTGTGTTAATGCATATGGCACACATTTTTAAAAAGTTTTAGAGAAAAAATGTTGACTTTTCAACCTCAGCTCCTGTGATGCATCAGTGATACACTGTGTAAGCAAAAAACTCACACTTAAGATCTTATAGACAAAATTCTCCCCACTGAAAACCAACAAAACTACTGTTTTCGTGTTGACAGGGATGCCAGACTGTGGTTTGCATGCGTATGAGGGTTTTTTTGTTGCTGTTGTTTTATCTGACGCTGCACAAAAAAAAAAAAAGCAATAATCTGGGCCAACTTTTTAACCTGTTGTTAAGGTGACTTTTCTGTCACTCTGGGTGCTTGCAGTATTATGCTGGAGACTACTTTGGGGAAGTCCGGCCCTTGTTCCTTAAAACTCAACTTTTTCACTTCATGGTTTTGTTTGACATACAATACAGAGATGTGTTTTAGTGTGAGCTGTTTTTGCTGTACAATTTTAGGATCATGTTGGTAACATTTAAAATAAAGTGAAGAGCACTTCATGAAGCATAGCAAGTGGACGGATGGATGGATGGATGGATGGATGGATGGATGGATGGATGAATGGACTGACTAAATACAAATCAATGCACTGATTAGTAGAGATGATTACAACATAGCTATATATCACTGACATGCAGAATTAATAAATATTTTATTCGTAGTATTTACAAAAGTAGAAATTCATGGTGTTATTATCAACTACATTTTTATGGTATGGAGTTTTTTGTTGTTGTTGTTTAATGTCTGAATCTACTTATATTAAAAGTTAAAGGGTCCAGTTGAATTTAGATTTAAACAGTAAGCAGAGCTATATTTATTGAAAAGCATTGCTTCTAATTGTCCCTAATTTTTCTTACCCTGATCTTAGGGTGTATCTTCCTCAATACTCACCTAAAGTACCTTTAAATCAAGGGTATTATTGGGGTGTTTCTGATCTTAGACAGGCATCTTAGCGTTATTTAGAAGGGGACTTTTGACATTTTAACATGGTAAGATTGATTTTTTTTTATAATGTTTCCTTTTTTTAAAGCGCTGCTATGCTAACACTTGTTATTGTGTCTAGTTGGCCTTAGTGTGGAAGTTTAGAAGTTTAGCCTGCCATCACAAACTGATGTTCTGGATTAGTAGAAACTTTGACTAGATGGTGAAGCTGAAGAAATCCAAGATATTGCGCTTCATCTTCAGCAGTTAGCTTCACTCATGAAGCCAGCAGCTACAAATGTACTGTGGGCTTGAACATTTTTGTTTTCTTAAAAAATCTGACTTTTCCTTCCCCCTCATCATTTCAGATGATATTACTTAAGAGTGATTTTGTATTTATAGCATTGTTGGATTAGGTAATTACATAACATTCTTGTCTAATTGCATTCAAGAATCACCCCGAGGGAACTCTTTGTATGTAAACTACATTCTTGTCTAATCACCCATGTGGCTTTGATTTGCTCTCTGGCACCAATCTTGCGTGTTTGAGCCTTTTGTAAATGAGGCTGGCAGCCCCTGCCGCTGCTCCAGTAATTAGACAGCCCCATTCATTAGGAAACAAAGAGGCTACGGGTACACTGAGGTTTCGGTTCTGAACAAGCTGCTCGCTGACCTTCTCCCAGCTGCTCCCGGGACAGTTTTCTGGGATGAGACGAATGTCCTGGGAGGGCTGGGATTGTTGCCCCTGATTGGTGGAGAGGAGCCAGGCTTCCACAGTAACCAAACCACTTGTCCTGGGTCGGGCACATTGTGATCCATTTTTTTTCCTGTTGGGATACCGAAACCAAAACTGCCATAAAACAGTATTAAAACATCTTTGCAACATAGAGTTTGATGCCAACAGTTACTTGCAGTCCAACAATAAACCACATCTGTATGGAGGTTAGAATGTTCCACAGATGTGTTTATTTGTGTATTATTATTTTCTTTAACCCATATCTATTAATTAGACTGGACTAGAACTAGACTAGACTCAGAAAGACTTCTAGTATAATGCACCATAGCTCAACAGCACCACAAAATGATCATACAGTTGGATCCACATGTTTGTTTTTATGGTGGAACCATTGTATTAAACTGCACTACTTTAGCCTGGTGAACCCCATAAACCGGAAACTGGCTGCATATGAGCAGAGAAGGCAGGGTTATAGTTTCTTTCAAAGAGTAATGGAAGTCACCCTTACAGGCAGGGAAAGAAGTCGATTGCTCACATTGCTTGGATCGGCTGCTCCTTCACTTTGAAAGGAATCAGTTGAGGTGATCAGAGCAGCTGTTCATTATTCTACATGGGTGCTTTTTAATTGAAGGCACGTTTCATGCGAGGCACATCAAATTAATAGGTGACTTCAGGATAACCGCAAAACATGCTAGAGGAATGATAGATCCCACCTGGCCTGGAAACACCTCAGGATCCATCAGGGGAAACAGGAAAACCTTACTGTAGAGCAGGATGACGGTCTATGAGGCTTATTCTGCTGTCACTGCGACCTGACTTTGGATAAACAGAGGAGAATGAGTGGATAGCTGGAAATAGTGCAACAAGACAATACAGTAATTGTGACAACTAATTACACGACCTGCCACATGGAGGTCCAGTGTAGCACATAAATGTAGTGTCTCTTTCACTTCACACAGTGTTGTTTGTGAGCATAACTCGGGTAAGGATCACATTTTTCACCACACTGTAATTGGGAAAATGGTTTGCTGGCACTGAACAATATGACCAACAAAGGTTTGTTGTGTAATGTTGTAAGAAACAAGACCATAGGGAACCATGGAGTAACGGTTAGCATTTGTTTTATTTTTGATTACCTCTGTGCTTCATCCTGTGCCCTCCAGTCTCTGCCTGATAATATTTAGCATTAATCCTGTTTTATTATTCGCCAGCATAGCAACCAAACATTGTTATCATTTTAAAAAGGGTAAGACATTATTATTAGTCAGAACCAGTCAACAAGACCAGTCCCAGCTCCATAAGCTCGAGGACAGAGGTTATATATATATATATATAGAGAGAGAGAGAGAGAGAGAGAGAGTGAGAGAGAGAGAGAGAGAGTGAGAGCGAGCGAGATGGATACAAAATAAGCAAAAATAAATAAATCAAACTGACACAGATATTTAGTTTTGAGAGATGAACTCCGGATTTTGAGCAAGTAATTGCCTTTTGCAGCTAATCCATGGTGTTTCGCTATTCGTATGAATTGTTTTGAGAAATGCACTTCCTGTTTTGGAAATGTCGAGGATGATTCGAGAAATGTACCAAAGCAACTGAGAAAAACTGTAATTATGCTTCAGTCTTTTTATGTGTCTTTGGTGTTGTTTTTATCCAGTATTACCCTTTAAACTCCTCACACTGGTTCAGGAGTACATGTATTTCTGGTGAGAAATATCTAAAGTTGTTCACGCTGACTTTATCGCTTCGAGTTATGTTTCAATGTTCTTTCTTTAGAGCGTTGAACACTGCGGGGCTGCAGCTGAAGCACCACAACTGTCAGAATAGAGCAGAGCGACATGTTCATTAGTAGATCAGCTGTAACAATGGTCACATCTATTACGTCCTAATAATCTGGAGGGAATACCGACGAGCCTGGTAACATTCAGTCTGCAGTGTTTGACTGTTTCCTGTGACAGGTTGCTCTCGGTGACAGAATACAAACCCACTTCCAGGCTGCTGACCACATGACAACGTGAGCCGCAGAGCTGTGCTAAAGGCAGAAAGAAGAAGTCTGATTGCTATAACAATGTGAAGTTTGCAGCAGCCAGAGAACAATAAGTGTACCGTATTCTGTAGGATCATTGTTGCTGTCCTGTTAACTATACATCTACAGAAGGAAACTTTAATGTCCTGTATTACAATCCTGCATGCTCCGGCCTAGAACGACTGGTCTGACTGTTAAAGCTCAACCGGCATCCAGCTTGGATGGAAACATGTTTCCAAGCAACCACTTCCCCCCTAAGTCTCCATGCAGCAGCAGGTGTCATAACACCAGAGATTCAAATTCACAGCAGCAGCTTTCCTCAACTTGTGCCTCCGTGCAGGTAAGATGCACAAGTGCCTTGCTCGGCCCAGTCACAGCGCTGGCTGGTCACGTGATTTACATGAAATAAGGAAATGAACCAGCTCCGCCATTTTGTCTGTCGGCAGCATTATTCTCCCATTGCTGCACCTCACAGATTGTTTTCTGGTTATTGTGTAGAAAACAATCAGTGTGTTTACTGATTAAACTTTTGTTTTGTTGTGGGACACTGGTACCGAACTGACAACGGGATCAGAGGCGGAAGAAAACTACAATGTCTGCTGGAACATCTGCGTCATTCTGTCTGATGCTCTGTTTCCATGTTTGGTCCTCTCGAGGTGAGCTACACTGATCACTTGTTCACATCTGACGCTCAGGTGGTTGTTTTGTAAAGACACATGTTAGAAACATGGTCTTTTCTCGTCTTTGTCCTCTGAGCTGCTGAGTCTCCAATAGACAGCTTCTGGAAGTTTCCTCCCTGAGCTTCCGTCCACTAACACAGACGCTCTCTGAATCCTTTCAGGTGATAAAGAGCCATTTTAGTGACTTATCAAAAATGTGTATTTTTAAGATAAACAAATGAATCTAAGAATTAATTCAGGTAACAGGACAGCACACTAAGGTTGACCCTCTTAGTCATGATTACAATATCATCAAATATACAGAAAAAAATATGAGAGGACTTATTCAGGTCTTCCACGGCCCCAGAACATCCAGATGATGCAACTTTGAGCTGAAGATGTGGCTTCTGGGATGTTTTAGCGGAGAGGATATGTCCGGATGACAGGACTGAGTGGAACCTGGGGGACACAAAAATATTACAGATTTATTATTTTAAAAATTCTGTAAAGTGTAGAAAGTATATGAGTCATACAACAGCACACAAAAAACACATTTCTGAAAAATTTTAATCATATTTCACGTTACAGTGTGGTGTTACAGTGGGGACAGCTCACAAATGTTTTTTTCCTATAGTCTAATATGTTGTAGGGAATTTCTATTATTTTAAATTATATATCTTACATTTGAAACTTGATCCGCGTGCAGTACACTTTGCTTAATAACAAAATGTATTTTATAAGTAATTTTCACACATATTTATTCATTTCAATTCCGAGGGACATTATTGGCACCCATTCGGTAGAATGACTCTGACATCCCCACAAACACCTTCAGACCATTTCTGCTGTAAACATGTATTCCATCGGCCTGCAGGTCTCTGCTTATTTGGATGTTGAATCAGTGAAATGTGTCCAACCTGGGTTCAAAGCTCACATTACGTCTTAGTTATGCATTCTTAAAGAAGGGCTCGTGTTGATGTTCTGAGAGCTTCCTCTGCTGAAGTCATGTTGTCTAATGACAGATATTCACTAAACAGACTCAGTATACCAAACTGTAGGACATCGCCGTCCTTAGCAACATCCAGGAAAGTCCATCCACATGGTAACAACATGGCATCAGTGTGCTTCAAGAGGCAGTGAACTGGGAAACAGCACATTGTCCACCGATCTTTAAGATTCTGTAGGTCCAGACAGAACCAGAACCAGCAGCTCTGTGGTTAAACTGTTCTCATCTGGATGAACTTTAACTTCTCTGTTGATTCTCCTTCAGCTCAGGTAAACATCACAGCAGAACCCGGACAGGATGTTATTCTGCCATGTAAAGCTCCCAACAACAAACCCATCAGAGCTGTAGAGTGGACCAGACCTGGACTGGATCCAGACACTGTTCTTGTGCACCGAAATGGACGCTTATATCTAGATGACCAGCATCCATCTTATAAGAACCGGACGGATCTACAGGACAGACAGATGAAGAACGGAGACGTTTCTCTGGTTCTGAAGGATGTGAAGACGGAGGACGGAGGAAAATACGAGTGTCGTGTTTCCCAGGAAGGAACAAATGGTTTCACGAAGGATCCCATCAGCATCATCAACCTGAAAGTTCGTCAACCAGGTGAGTTTGTGTCCAGAGTTCAGTTTGTGTCTCTAATGAAGCTGCTTCGTCTCAGATCAGATGTTTGTGGTTTATAAAAATGTTGCTGAGATGAGATTTTGTAGAAAACAGCTGATATGATTGATGTTCAGAGAGCTGACAGCTGATACTCTGATACCTCTGTCTGCTCTGCAGGAGACACTGAAGAAGGAGACAAGAATGGAGGAGACAAGGTTGGAATCACTGTAGGATCAGTAGTGGGTGTGATAATTCTCCTTGCTTCTTCTGTTCTGATCTATAAAAGACCTAAGAGGCAGAGGTCACACCTTCCTGTTCCTCCTGATGAGGCAGCAGCTGCAGATGTCATAACAGTTTCTGAGTTAGCAGCAGAACAAACCAGAGCTTCTGGAACTTTGTCCTCCATCATGGAGATGACGGAACCAGCAGCAGCAGAATAAACTGTAAATGGTTGCACAGATCAAGTTAGTCTGAAGGGTGTGTACGTAACTTCATAACCCTCTGGACGTTAATTGAACAATGCGAGCAAAGTTCATATATTTCTCATCAAAACCACAATTTTTTTTTGTTTGTTTTCTTTGATGAAGGGCTTTTTTTAAATTAAGACTTTGAAAAATGTAAATACAATTACATTTACTCTACAAGCATTTTTTCCTTTTATTTTGGTGTCCAGCCATCAGTGGGCCTTATGTTAACTACTGTTACGATCTTCTAAATTAGCTCGTACCAAAGAGACTGAACACAATGAAATGGGCAAAGAGCTGCAAAGAGAACACTTTTTTTTATTTTTGAAAAAAAGGTAGACAGAGAATGTGACCAAATTAAAGACAAAGAATCTACAAAAACATTAGCAAAATAAAACCCCCTCCAAACTAACTAAATACTGGTGGGCCAGCCGCAAGACCTGAACTACTGGACCCACCAGGAAAAGAAAAGAGAAAAATTTAAAGTACCTCATAAGGTGACACACAACCACTATCAAATGCACTGTTACTGCTGCTACTACTGCTGCTACTACTGCTGCTACTGCTACTGCTACTGCTGCTGCTGCTGCTGCTACTGCTACTGCTACTGCTGCTGCTGCTGCTGCTTGCCAGGCTGGAATGAGAAAGGACTGAGCTGCAGGCCCCTGTTTAAAGGTACTCTGAGCAGTCACACCTGTTGGGAAGGAGGCAGACAGAGTGAGATCAGGCAGATCAGCAAGAGGGAGGGGGAAGCATGTAACACCCACATAATAAACTGAACAGGGCAAAGGAGGTAGAAATCTGACCCGCATGGATAAAATGTGTTTATTACTTGAAAAATGAAGTGTTAGTATGACGTTATTGTCATGTTTGCGGTATTGTAATGAGAAATGCTTTAACTCGGGATAACAAGAATCGTTTTCTCGTGAAAACGAGATAATTTATCTCGAGAAAACCAACTTCGTTCAGCCTGTGTCAGACCTCGAGAGAAGTAAAGTCTGATGCGTTCATCAATGACAGATGATCCTCGATCTGACATTTTTAGTCCGTTCTCGGCAAAGTCACTGCTGCACTCGTTTCTTTGTTAACACAGGCATCAGTATCCAGGGATAATTATCTGGAGAAAACAGCCCCGTTTTCTCCAGATAACGGGATAATTATCTCGTTATCTCGAGAAAATGCCGTTTAAAAAAATGACCGCTCTCGGCTTCCGTTGCAAAACACGAGAAAACACAAAACATTTCAGAACACAGCAAAAGCTGTACAGCAGTTCTTGGTTGTGAGTCCCTCTGGGAATGTTGTGTTTTGTCCCATGGTGTTGTGCTTTGTATATGAAGTATTGCCTCATTGTGTGGCCTTTTGTGTTTCTTCTTGCTCTGTTGTGTTTTCATCATCTGACATTAAATGTTGAGGATTGAAAGGTTCAGTATCTGTTAAACCAGTATTTTGAAGCTGCTGCTGAACAGAATAAATGAACTGATCTGGTGCGTCACGTTTCCTTATGAATGTTATAAATGAAGTCGTTTTAATCACAAACTGCAGTCGAGTCCTTGAACATGATGTCTGATGGTTAGGAGGGTTATTGTGGTGAGTTCACTGACGCCTGTTGTTAGATGATAATTAAAGTTCATTGCTTTTATTCTTTGTGGCAGAAGCACAAATGTTCCATAAGGTTCAGTTCAGCCAGTATTTTTCTCTCCTGTAACACCTGCAGGGCAAACTCACGCCTTTGACAAACAAACCTGCCCCGAAACTGCATTTTAATAACAGTTATCGTCATTTCCCTGCACACACAATCTCTGTATTGAAGACTTAAAAACGAAAAAAATTGCAATGAAAATAATCTGTGGGGCTCCGTTAGGGCAGGGTGATATGGTCAAAAATATTTATCACGATATGAATGGGAAAATTTGCGACAATGATATAACTGCTGATGCCAGTTTAGGACAGCGGTCACAGTTCTGTTTCCACCATCGGATGGCGGCCGGTGGCAGGAAAATATTCAGATCTCAACATTGCTATCCGGACACCACCACAGCCGAATATTGCAATATCTGGGTCCAGTCCTACTGTGTCGGTCGATGCACTACATTTGCCCTCCACTGTATGATATGGCCCAGCCCTGGCCTCAGTACATTTCTCATTTTCACGGAGTTAGATCTTTTTGGGCAACAGTCGGTCCTTAACTTTCAGGATTTTTACCCTTTAAATGCTGGTTTGTTTACTTGATGCCACTGTTTTTTGTTTGTTTTACTTTAAAACCATGTCAAATGAAGTATTTTCCACACAATAAGTGGTAAAAAGACCACCTCTCACAGCCTGAGACGTGTCAGTGATGAGCAACAACACTGGTTCTGATGCCATCATTATTACAGTTTTTCTCAGTCGCTTTGGTACATTTCTCGCATCATCCTCGACATTTGCAAAACCAGTAAGTGCGTTTCTCAAAACAATTCATACAAACCGCAAAACACCATGGATTACCTGCAAAAGGCAGTTACTTGCTTAAAATCCTTAATTCATCTGTCAAAACTAAATATCTGTGTCAATGAATATGTCAGTGCCATCAGAATGACAAGTCCTTGTGTCAGTGTGTACGGATAAGACAGTCATGTTGTCAATATAACTGTGAACTCTGGAGGGATGTTCTGATGTAAACTATGGCTAAAGTTTTGATGACATTTATTGTAAACTGTGAGTTACACCTTCGTGTATGCGGGAGATTAATTTATAAGAGACTGGACAAGATTCACATTTATGCTTTTACTGTTTGTACTGTGATTTGTTGACCGACCATGTCATTACGATACAGAAAGGAAAAGACAGCACTGCACAGCACA